TTGCCTTATTGCACTTATCAGATTTTGGCCACTCCCTGGAGCATCTGTTTCACAAGAAGTATTCAAGTCATCCCTGAGTGATCTAGATTCAGGAAGGAAGCAATGAGAACACGGAAATGGAAAGAAACTGGTTTTGTAACACCTTCATTAAACCCCAACACTCTTACGAGACACAAGCCCTCAAGAAATTGTGGGGAAGAATAGGCTTTTTTCTCATTAAGAGATGATGTAGTCCTTCTGTTTGTGGCAAATTTTTTTTACTGCACAAGTTAATTGCTTCCCAATATCATTGTAACAAACAGTATGCAGACACTAATTGGGGTAGAATTGATATATTTTTTGGGGACGATATCTACATGGATTTTTAAGGCGCGTCTCAATTTCCATGAGCAGTGCCAAGGATATTCAAAACAAGAGAAAAATCCAATCTAAGAAATGCAAAAGGAAAAGTTAAAGGACAAACACCCCATTTTCATTATCAGCTGAAAATGAAAAGTCTTGGTGAAATTGAATATTTCCTATGAAAAAGAAGAAGAAAATGGAAAAAATAAATAACGAACAGGAAATATTTCAAGAATAACTACAAGTGAAATCATAGATCTCAGTTTCTTTATAGTTCCCATTCACCCCATTCAAGAAACATCTTGAATTACATGATAAATGCAAAGAAAATGGAAAAGGGAAGTAAATAGTTCTTACAAGAGGAGTGTAAATCCCCATCACTATGTATTGAAACAATTCTTTTCCCACAAATGGAGCAAAGAAAACATAGAAAGCAAACCCTAATGCTAAAAATACAGCAACAGCAACCACCTGCACATGTAGAGACTAAACTCAGACTCGGAATACAAATAAAAAATCAATCAAAAGATAAGCTTAAAGGCCAAAAAAAAAAAGAATATTCATGGGGAGTGAAGAAGAAAAATATACCTGGAGAGGATGGTAGGGAAGCTGCCACCCATGTTTCCTCATTGTGATAAATTGAAGTTGCAATAAACAGAAAAAATTCAAGAAAATGTAGAGACGAAGTTTGTTTTACTTCCTTTTTCCACTCTTGAAGCTAGTTTTCCCTCATTTTCATGTAAGAATTTTAGACCAATGCTTCATCTAGAATTATGGTGTGTCTTATCAGTGAAAAAAAATTAAAAATTAAAAAAAAAAAAAATTGATACCAAGAATGAGCTCAATCATAGACCACCTACCCACCACCCCCGACTTCACATACAGATGGTGAATAGACAGAAAGAAAAAGCAAAGGAAGGGTCTTTACATTTACATTTGCATTTGGGGATGTAATGGGATTAGAACAAATGGATTTTTATTTTTTTTTCTTGAAAAGCCTTTTGCTGAAGGCAAGCAAAGCAAAGATCTGGGGTGGGGTGG